TTGAGGGGGCTGGGTTTTGTTGCTGTGCACAGACTCTCTGTAGTTGGGGAAAGCAGGGGCTACTGTCTCGTTACAGGGTGTGGGCGTCTCACTGTGGTGGCTTCTCTCGTTGCAGAGCTTGGGTTCTATGGGCATGGGCTTCAGTAGTTGTGGTGCCCAGGCTTGATTGCCCCAAGGCATGTGGGCTCTTCCTGGACCAGGGATCAAATCCGTGTCCCTTGCATTGGCAGGTGGATTCCCAACCACTGGACCACCAGGAAAGTCCACTTGTGTGTGTGTTTTTAAAAAATTTTGGTTGTGCTGGGTCTTTATTTGTGGTACATGGGCTTTTTCTAATGGTGGCATCTGGGAGCCTCTCTCTAGTTGCAGCGTGCAGGCTTAGTTACTCTGCAGCATGTGGGATCTTACTTCCTTAACCAGGGTTCAAACCTCCATCCCCTGCATTGGGAGGCAAATTCTTAACTACTGGCTCATCAGGGAAGTCCTGGAAGAGTTGAATTTAACTGAAGTCTTAGGCCTGAAGGGTGAGAGCCTAGCAAAGCCTCTAACAGAATGGAAAAGCAAGATGTGGTTGATAGGAAGATGTTAGTTCAATGTGGGGTCATACTGAATTTGAGAGCTTTATGGAGCATCCATACGGAGGGGTCCTTGTCCTTTAGGTAGCTGGAAATGTTTGTTAGAGTTCAGGGGAGAGATGGCAGCTCAAGAAGGCATCCCCATAAAAGGCATCATTAGAAGAAGGCATGGACTTAGATAAGAGGGATGAAGGTTAGAACACAGAGTGAGAAGATGGCATGGGCAGTGACATCTTGGCCCCATTCCACTCACACACTTAATATGTGTGCCCTTTACCATATTTTGTTGAGTCACAAATCCCATTTATTTTTAAGATGTTATTTTATGTGCCACTGAGAAAATATGTGGTCAGCAATTATGAAATGGTATTCATGGACTATGAGCACACTGATTTTAAAGATACACAAATGCGGGGACAAAATACATCTTAGAACTGATTAAATAAGATATGTGCCAGCCACTGTTAGGCATCATGGAAGGGGGAGAGTGGGATACAGCTATGAAAAAGACCCTGCCTTCAAAAAGCTTCCAATCTCATGATGACACTTGCAGATACTTCTACCAAAAGACTGAGACACTGATATAGTGTAGGCACCAGAGCTGCTCTAAGATCAGTTGCTGCTTGTCAAGTATTTATAGGCATTATTAACACAGACAAAACTGACAGCATGTCTTTCTCGGAATTTCTACTCCTCCCCCTCCTTTTCCCTAATGCCTGAAATTTCTGGGGACAGAACCTTTCAAATCATTTTTGAATGAATTGAGATAATGAACTAAAATACCACATGGTGGGTGCTGAACTGGTACAACTTCTATGAAAGGCAATTTGGCACTATCCAAATTACAAATGTGTTTGTCCTTTGACCTAGCAATACTACTCTAGGAATATGTTTCAGATATACTTCAGTTCAGTTGCTCAGTCATGTCTGACTCTTTGCGACCCCATGGACTGTGGCACATCAAGCTTCCCTGTCCATCACCAACTCCCGGAGCTTACTCAAATTCATGCCCACCGAGTTGGTGATGCCATCCAACCATCTCATCCTCTGTCGTCCCCTTCTCCTCCCACCTTCAACCTTTCCCAGCATCAGGGTCTTTTCCAATGAGTCAGTTCTTCGCATCAGGTGGCCAAAGTGTTGGAGTTTCAGCTATATTTACCCCTCAGATATACTTACTCAGATGGGAAATACCATCTGTATTAGCTTGTTCATTACAGCATTGTTTGAAATAGCAAATATTAATCTAAGGGCCGTGGACAGGACACTGGTTAACTAGATTATGGAGCATTGGATCCCAGATCCAGGAAATGCTTGATATATGAATATGGAAAAGATCCCTGATATGTGTTCTTAAGTGAAAAAACACTAAGTGTAGAACAGTTACAATAAACTGCCATTTTCTTATGCAGGGGGGATTAAGACTATGCGACTACAAATTTGCTAACATACATGTAAGCAGAGTTGATTACCTGAAGAAAACCCTAGGACACACAAGAAACTAGTGACAGTGCTTAAAGTAGGGGAAGGGTGAGTAGAGGATTTGGCAGATGGGGATAGATGAGGGAGGGAAGGAGAAGGAATTTTCATACTTTATGTCTCAACTGTGTGAATGTGTTTATTTATTCCAAATGTTAAATTAATTGAATTTTTAAAAATACTCCATGGGAAAGAGTTAACCCAGAGACTATGATTTCCACCCAAAGGAGAAAGTCTACTAGTCATCATTAATTCATTTATTCAGTAACCTATAGCAATCAAGAAACTTCTCTAGCAATAATGGTTAACAAGTCTTAGCACTGAGAGGGGCCAGGCATAGTGCTAAGCACTTCCAAATACATTATCTCACTCAATCCTCACCACCTCTGCTGGTGCAGGTGTCGAGCATCACAGAAGTGGAAGCTGAGGATGAGTGAGGTGGTTCTTGCCTAAAGTCACCTGCAACCATCCAGGCCCCACCCTCCAGGCCAGGCTCTGTTCTGCGCAGGCACGATGGATACCAGAGACAGAGACACAACTCCTGCCTTCTTAGGCTTAGTTGTCTAGTGAGGGAGACAAGCAAGTGAAAAAGCAGATTCACAGAGAGGTTTTGAACAGGGAAGGGAGTGTTAGAGCATGATGCCTAAGGATTAGGGGACAAAGGGAACAGCGAGCTGGGGACACGGAGGAAACCTCTCCCACGACACCTTCGGCCAAGGACAGGCCTTATAAACAGCAGTGGAACTCAGTGGCGCCTCTGTGGGAGAAAACCCTGCAGCCTCAGAACCAACAATGAACAAAGGCAGCCGGTGCTCTGTAAGAACAGAGCAGATCTGACAACAGCCCGACTTGTTTGATCAGCGTAGACATCCTTTTGGACTTTGAAGCCTGAAGGGCTCTCCTTTAGCTGTCTACACAGATCAAATAAGCTGGATGGCTGCCATATCTCAACTTCACTTTGTGTTACTCCATAGTCACAGCCAGCTCCCCAGCAATTCGACCAAACCATCTGAGCAGGGGCAAAAATAATTCTCATCGGCAAAGACAGATAATCCCAAGATGCGAATGTTAACTCCTTGCTGTCACTTCAGGAGGGAGTGGGTTTTGAAGTTAGTTCTTGGAATCTTCCAAGAAGGGAGCTTCTGCCCCTTTCCAAAGTGAGATGGCAAAGCTGTTTTCTTTCTCACAGTTAAAAGCCCTTCCGATTCCAAAGCTCATTCATGAACACTCAGAAGAACTGACAATACGTAGCTGTGGTCTAGCTCTCAGAAAGGCAGCCCCACCCTAAAGCCCCACCAAACCCTCTCTTATTCATAGGATCATTCTTGGGGGAAACCCGACTCCAGTCTCCTCAGTCCTCAAGGAGCAGTGGGGATCTCAGGAAATCCTCATCACAGAGACTGTCAGGACCAGGCATCTAACAACAAACCCAGAAGCCAAGTGGCATCGTTAAAAAAGATGAAAAATCTACATGAGTTCTAACATCTTCGTTCCTAGCCATGGTTTCCATGGAAATAGACATCTGCTCTAGGGAGAAAGAAAGGGGGGACGGGGGACGGTATAAGTGCTTTAAAATAATCAGTGTTTTGAAAGATTTATTTTTTTCTGTCACAACATTAATAGTCAGAAAGGTGAGATTTTTGTGGCAATTTCTTATATATTTTTTAAAAAAAGCATCAAATGGGTGGGACCTTCCTCTGCAAACCTCCAGATCAAGTACAAAGACTTGTAGATAAAGCGTGGTTCAGGGTATAACAGACTTCTCAGCCTTGGGTTTCTTGCTCGTGTGTGTTGCCTGTTAATCTATCACTTTTCAATGAGGTCTTATCCCAACTCCCCTCCAGTCTTCCTGACGATTTCTGAGGTTTTGCTCAGAAAACTGACAGATGGAAACAGCCGGTTGTTTGGTGGCTAAGTTTGGTCTGAGAAGGAGAAGGTTCTCAGGGCTCTGAGAATCTGAATTATTGCTGGTCCTGCTCACATGCTAAGGGAAAACCACTTAGATTGGGGGCGGGGGAGAGGCCGACCCCACACAAGGGCAATTGTTGGAGAAAATGCTGCAACAAGCATATTTCAGGCAACAGTGCATTGCTAATTGTTTGCTTTGTGTGGTGTGTCTGCTGCCTGTATAATCCAGTTTTCCTTGTCTCAAGCACCTATGAATTGTATTTAACTCTTGCATATCCATAGTAAATAGCTTTAAATTAGGACTCCTGCTCCATCAAAGTAGGTCATGTTTGTTTCTTGGTTGGGGGAGGTGGAGCCCATTGAGCAGTAAAATGAGGATGTCCTTCTGCCTTGTCAGGATCTCAAGGCAGCTGCTTTGGTGTAATGACCAGCCCCAAGGACAGAGCCTTGGTTGGGGGAACCATGTTCATTTGATTTATTTTCCCTCTGGCCTTTCTGTGTTTTAAGAATGAGGCCAGCCGTTCTAAGATAGCCAGGGTCAGAGCAATTTTCTTTTGTGTTTCTGCTGTGCATCTGATCTATCCAGGGCAGGGGGAACCGTGACCTTGTGGCTTCTTTTGTTTTGATTCTTTATAAGGACCCAGCACTGATGTGGGAGCACGTGCTTCAAGAACAAAAGCAACACTTAACTGCAGTCTGTGTAGTCTAGAACTGCAATTGAGCTTCCTTCCCTATCGTCCGGTAAAAGGCTTGGCAGAACAGATGGAGTCTGCATTTAAGCCGAGTGACTTTGTTAGACCAGAGGAGATCAAATTCCAGAGCCTTTTGCTTTTCCCCCACAGGTCTCTATAGAGGGTCAACAGCTCGGGGACCCTTAGAGGGTAGCAAGAACGCACACAGTGAGTTAAGGGCCACGCCCGTGCCCTGTTGGGGCTGAGTAGGTTAGATTATGATGATGTCACAATACAGGTGACAGGTGGAGGCGTCGAGTGGCATTGTCCCGTCACAAGGGCTTGGTCATCTTAGGTGACTGCACCGAGGGGCCCCCGGAAGGGCAATGCTCTATCCCAAAGAAGGGCTGTGCTTTGGGTGTTATGTTGGGCAAGGGGCTCCACAGAGGTGGAGTCCAGGGGGGCCACTGTCTTGAGACGTGGAAAGGGACCTTGCCCCGCCCTTTTTCTAAGAAGGGGAGAACTGGTTCAAACCCAGGCGGGAGCTCACTGCATCACCCCCTTCCCCGGCCAGATGACCATCCCGGCCCCCCCGGCTCACACCTGGAGACATCCCCGCCCCAAAGCAGCCCTCACCCCTGGCATTGTCCGCCTGTCCCACCAGCCTGAACTACACTTCCCGAGGTGCTCCGGGGTCCCCAGGGGCGGGGTCCACTTGGGCGGTGGAGGGGGTGGGGAGGGGTCGGCACGTGCCGCCGCTCCCAGCCAATGCGGAGCCCGGCGGGGAGGTCACGTGCCGCTGTTTGGCGCTTTTGTGCGCGCCCGGGTCTGTTGGTGCTCAGAGTGTGGCCAGGCGGCTCGGACTAAGCAGGTGGGTGTGGGACTCTCGGGAGGAGGCGGCGGCGGCCGGCCGGGGGCAGCGAGAGGGACGCGGCCAGCGGGAGGGGCCGGCCCTGGGGCAGCGACCCCCTGCTGGAGGCCGGCGGGCGGGGCCGCGGGCCGTGAAGGGGCTGGAGGGCGGGGTGGGGGTCGCTCCGCTTTGTGTGTGGCTCGGGCGGAGCCTCGGCTTTGTCCCTGGCTCCCTGGGGGCGCGGCTGTGGTGGGGAGGGGGTGCGGCCAGCTGGGCGAACCCGACGAGGTAGCCCCGAGCTGTCTTCGAGAAGACAATAGGGGGCGTAGGCCCACCCTCCCCCGCCCCCCTGCAGGCGCGGCCCCCACTGGGGTCCCCATTGTTTGAAGGGGCGGGGCGGCGCCCCGAGGGAGCGACCTGAGGGCCAGACTGCGGGGCGGGAAAGGGCAGCGCCCCCGCCCAGGGTTCGTGAGGCTGCCCACGGAAGGCTAATACCCCTACGAGAGCTGTTCGGCCCGGGGGCGCGGACGGCTTTGGGTGGCGGAAGATTGGGAGCAAAGGAAAGAGGTGGCGAGCTGATGGCGGGTATCCCACGGTTTCCTCCCGAGTACTGGCACCTCCCGGCCAGCTGCGGCGGGGCTGGGGACGGGGGCCCGCCTCAAGGTGTTTTTGGCGGGAGTTGATGGGGGGCTAGTGCGCGCGGGGAGAGCCCGGGGTGGGCGGAGTTACCCAGATGGGACCGTTAGCCCCGCCCACCCCTCCCCTTCCCACGCGCGCGGGCTCCGGGGTGTTGAGAGTTCGGGGAGATTCGAAAAGGCGCGGGGAGGAAGGGGCGGGGCCCGGGGCCGGAGCGCAGGGCGGGCTCTGATTGGCCGGGGGGAGGCCTGCCGCTATTCCTCGCCCGGACCAGGGCCACGCCCATGCTGGGTCTGGTGCTGGGAGTCTCATGCTCGTCCGACGGGCTTAGACGGTTTCCCTGCCTCGGATTTTAAGTTCCCGCTGTTGAGAACTTGTATTCCTACGTGTTTGACACTAGACTTGGGTCTGCAGGAATCATGACCTTTGAAAAGATCAAGTGATGTAGAGGTTTTTTTCCGTGGAAAAATTCTGCACAAGGCAGCAAATAGGTGTAACCTAAGACCTAAAGCTTCATAAAATTGTTGATAATTCATGTTAACCCGCTGTTGAATGAGGACCTTAAACCGCAGGAACAATAGAAGTGCGACATTATTGGTTAATACTAGTTTGGGCGTTCTGTTTTCCACATGGCAGACAGACAAAGCAGGGGTGGGTAGTTCTCGTTTGCACAATGAGTGGTAGGCAGTGTCAAGATGGCTCCGGTCTCACTAGGCGTTGAATCTGCACTGTGTTCTCACCAGGGGGAGAATATACTGAGGGGCGGGGACCTCGTGATTTAAATCCCTGTCTCGTTTTAAAAAAGTATGTTTTGAACGGGCACGCTCAGTTAACCTCATCTTGTACAACCAACATTCTATTCAATTCAGATTTCCCAGTGTTGGAGTATTTTATAGATTTTTAAATAATTTTCTGACAAATGATGTCATATTTAATTCCACAATAGTGGGGTTTTTTGACATTGATTTATATGGATGTGATTTGAGGTCCCTTTGAATCAATGACATGGAAATGCAAAGAAATTGATTGCATGCTTTTGAAAATCGTTTTCAGGGTTTTCCTTGCCAGTGAATCGTGTAGAGTACACTGCCAGTCTCTTGTCTTCTCTTCACCATGGCTTCTTCTGGTAGGTGATCTATTTGGAAAAGCTGAGATTGTGATGGGCTTCTAATTTTAGAATAGGAGATGGCTCAGGTCTTAAGCCATCTTAATTTGACACATGTGTTTTGGTCTTACCAAGAAAAAAAATCTTATCTTATAAATTGAAGAGTAATTAAAGAAGAAAAATTACCACTTGAATGTACTGAGAGTACATAGTTAATTATTTCATTATTAGACGATTTGGTTTGGTCTAAAGGAAAATGTGGAGTTTTGCATGTTTTTGTTCTGTTCGGGGAAATGATTGTCAAATACTGATGTCTCAGAATGGTATTTATCAATCCAAAAATGTTGAGCTTTGCTTTTCTGGGACATGGTATTTAGATAATAATTTCTTGCCTGTAAACACAGCTGCTTCACCAGCCCTAATTCTATTCATTAAATTGATTTGGTTTTTAGAAAACGATAGAACAGTTCATTAGAATAGGAAAAACTCCATTTTTCTGAATATATTATAAATATGATCAAATCCAGATATCCAGGTGAAGGAACTGGAGAAGCGTGCCTCAGGCCAGGCTTTTGAGCTGATTCTCAGCCCTCGATCAAAAGAATCTGTCCCAGAATTTCCCCTTTCCCCTCCTAAGAAGAAGGATCTTTCCCTGGAGGAAATTCAGAAGAAATTAGAAGCTGCAGAAGAAAGACGCAAGGTAAACACCAATTTAACAGAAAAGCAGATATTTATTAATGTAACGTGGCAAATCTGTTTTAGAAGAGGAGGAAAACAGAATTGTAGCTAGATGGTGACTATAACTATGAAAATTACAGTGCCAGTGGCGGGGAGAGAATACCAGCCGTCATTTATTGAGCTCCTATTGTGGACCATCTCCTGCACTTACATAGTTCTCCTTTTCTACCTTGACCCTACAGGGTAGGTGTTGTCTGAGATACTGGATTAGAAAATGTTCTCAGGAACGTTGACTCATTTTCCTGAATCATACAGTTAGTGAGTACTGGGGCTAGAGTTTAAGCCCAGTTCTGTCTGAAACCAAAATTCATGCTTTTCATGCTTTCTCTTTGGAAAATAAATTGTTTTGATTCATTTTTTTGTCTCTTAAGGTTTTGGGGTTTGGTTTTTTAAGTTGTGTGTAAGTCTGTGGTTTTTTAGTTTTTGTTTTGTTTTTTGAGAGCAGTACAATGAAAACATCTTAAATGGCAGTGACATGATTGTGTTGCTCAGCTGTCATACGGGTATTATGGTAGCTTTTACCTAGTACTTCTGTTTTAAAGTAGGTATCTTTAAAAAGAACTAATCAGAAGAGTCAGCAAATATTAATATGCTTGTTATAGGAAAACAGAACCACAGAAGCTTATAAATAAGAAAATTCATATCCTGCTTCGCAGAAATCACTATTGGTAACATGTTGGTGTATCTCTCTCTTCATTGTCCTTCTAGTCGTTAAGAATTACACACAAATTCTCATTTAGGTCCTTTTTCTAGCAACTCTTGATTGGGATGTATAGGTTTAATTTTAAAATTAGGGAAATGAAGGCACAAAAAGGTGAAGTAGTAACCTGCCTGCAACCAACACAGTTTGGTGCTTTGAAGTCCGGCACCTTTAAGCGAACACATGCGCTTCGGGGCCCCTTTAAGCTGCTGTAGCACGTGCTATGCACGTTTCAGAGCCATGCGTTTGCTGTGTGTGCGCTGACCCGCTGTCAACAGTGAATTACCTCCTCAGGAGGAGTGGCTCTGTTTGCAATGGTGTTTCACCTCCTACCTGCTCTTCTGTTTAGTCCCAGTTGATGGATTTCATATAGTTTGAGTTCATGGAAGAGATGCAGCCGAAGGCAGGACAGATAATTTTTTTTTTAAGGAATCAATGCTGTCCCTGTAGTCATTAGCCAGAGCTTTACATAGTTACTGGCTAAATATAGTGAAACTCTTACCATGACTGGGATTTTGAAGAGGAGAATTAACAGAACCAATGGCAGATGCTCTGAAGTTTTCCTGCAAGTTGATGCTTCCAAACACATCGGAATCTGGTAATAGCTATTCTGAGTCTGTTGAAGGAGGTACACCATGGTAACAGAGCTCCATTGGTCTGGAAGTTAATGCAGTGTCCATAGAAAAATGCTAATAAGCTTTTCCTTAAAACAAATCTTTGGCTTAAATAGTAATCTGGAGGCTTAGTTTTAATATTTCTAACATTTCTGTGGATTTCCTTTTTATCAATATGGTTACATTTTTTTACAATGAACTCATTTTCTTTAGGTAGCCTTTGAAGTTAAAAAATCAAAAGTCTTCACAATAAAGTGCCATTTCTAAGTATATATCACTCAAATCGTCTTGATACCATTAAGCAGTAAATCTTAAAAAGATTTCCTTAAGGACTAATTGGGCAAGAATCTGAACAAATATGGGCAGTTTTCCAAAGTAAATACAAACACTAGAAAAAGAATATCATTTTTACGGTATTCTGATACAAATAATTCAGGTCCTGACTTCAGTATTATTTGAAGGGATCTAACTTTCTATCTTCAGTCTGCTCAATTAATTTTCTTCTGTGATTTGACCTAATGCTATATCACATTTCAGAGAGCCTAGCCTATTAAACTTTTTTCCAGTCCCATGAAGCTGAGGTCTTGAAGCAGCTTGCTGAGAAACGGGAGCACGAGAAAGAAGTGCTTCAGAAAGCGATAGAGGAGAACAACAACTTCAGTAAAATGGCGGAAGAGAAGCTGACCCACAAGATGGAAGCCAACAAAGAGAACCGGGAGGCACAAATGGCTGCCAAACTGGAGCGTTTGCGAGAGAAGGTTGGTGTCTCCTCCTGGCTTTGAGAGGCTTACGAGCCTGAGGTTTGATGCACCAGTGAAATGGCTCGAACTCTGCCTTGATCACACGTGCTTGGTATCTTTGTCATCCATTTTGTGGTTAACAAGTTAAATCAGAGGTGTCTTATTTTAAAATAAGGAATATTCACTAATTTGTAGCACAATTGCATGTTGTTGGGAAGAGCAGCAGAAGGCTGAATCATTAGGTTCAATGAGTGACCTAGGAAATTTGAAGATGATGACTTACAACTCTTAATTATGTGATTCCCATGATATATACTTATATAATAATAGTATATTATTATACATGTCATATAACATACATACTAATGCTGGTTTGGGCCTCGGGGGCATGGCCTGGCAGACTTTTTTACTTGACTGGTGGTATATACTGTTTCTTTACAGGACAAGCACATTGAAGAAGTGCGGAAGAACAAAGAATCCAAAGACCCTGCTGATGAGACTGAAGCTGACTAATTTGATCTGAGAACTGACTTTCTCCCCCTCCCCTTCCTAAATATCCAAAGACTGTACTGGCCAGTGTCATTTTACTTTTGCCCTCCTGACAAATATTCTAGAAGCTGATGTAGGACTGTATAGGTAGATCCAGACGGTATGATGTTGTTCTAGGGGCTAAAGGGGAGAAACGAAAAGTGTTTTACTCTTTTTCTAAAGTGTTGAAGTCTTTCTAATGTAGCTATTTTTCTTGTTGCATCTTTTCTACCTCAGTACACCTGGTGTGCTGGGTTAATGGCTAGTACTGTATTGGCTCCGTGAAAACATGTCTGTGAAAAGAGTATGTAGTGGCTTCTTTCAAATTGTTAGATGCTGATTATCTGTTCACTTTTAAATCCCAATTCTGTCCCGATCTTACAGACGCTACTGTACTTGAATGGTTAATAAAGCTGCACAGTGCTGTTGGTGGCAGTGACTTCTTTCTGCCCAGGTAATAAGTTGTCCAGAGATAGAGACTCTCCTAGTTTATATTTGTTCCAGATGGGACCTTGAGGCTGGTAGAAACACCCAGCACACACATCACTGCGAGTCCTCTGCCCTGGAGTTTCTTGCTCCAGAGTTGTTTGCATTGTCTTCTTCCACAATCATCACTTTGTTGTGATGCCTCAGCCCAGATCAGCTGTTATGATAGTCTTTCAGATGTTTATTTTCAAACAAGCAGTTTTTGTTTTCTGTGTCCCCATTAAAAAAGCAGAGTGAAGGCGCAAACGGTGTTTCTAGAGAACAGTTTAGAGATGCGAACGGTGTTTCTAGAGAACAGTTTAGAGAAACCTTAAGATCCTAGTTAGAGATATTAGATGCTTTTATTTGCTTTATGTTACAGGCTGGGGTTGGGGGTGAATCCTAACACTTGCCTGCCACAGGTACCATTTCTCAAGAATCAAAAGATTAGTAAAACTTTCTGTACCCCTCTAGCACCCCCTGTGAAGTGATAAAGGGAAACTTATTCTCTAGAGCAGCGTTGACTTGGGTGGTGAAGGTTGGTGGTTGCTTTGTCTTGCATCCAGAGGCTACAGTATTTACAGTTTTCACCAGCTTGCCTCTGAATTCCGGGAAAGCCTTTGGCAGCTTTCCTAGGCTATTTGGGAAATAGCCTTAATTACATATGATTATTTGCTTCTCAGACTATCTGCAGAAAAGCTCTTGGAAGCTACACGCCTACAGTGAAAGAGTTTCCAGGATGACTGCTAATACTGCAGTGGGGTCAGCATGTTGCCACACTTATACTTCTGCAGCTCTTGATTTGGGTTTTATCAAACTTATAAGGATAATGATAGCCTATCAACCTTCCTTTGTTGTTAGGATTAAAGGAGTGTGTGTGTGTGTGTGTATAGTAGAGCACTGTATTTAGTATATATTTAGCACTAAAAATGATAACCATTTTTAACCAGAGGCTAGTGAGGGAGCTAATAAGTTTACATTGAGTTGGAAATGACTGTGCAGCTTTTAAGTGCCTTGAATTGACTTAAAATTTTATAAGGTGATGAATTGTAGGGGTTCAGAAAGAAGATTGAATTTAAAGAGTCATGGCTGTATAAGGCAAACAGGAAAAAGATCAAGTGTAGTTCAGTATAACGATGGCAATATCTAAACACATAGGTCGAGGTAAAGCTTGTGTGCAGAAATGCACCGTTGTCTGCCTTCGGTCTGTCCTATAGTAGGTATTAGAGGTTTGCGTGGGTGAGACGGTACCCATGGGAACCCTTAAAGCACCAGTTCTGAGTAGCTTGGATATAAAGATGGCCTGAAAGTAGAAATTCATCAGTATGTTCATCAGGACATACTAGATGTCCTACAGAGAGCAGTAGGTTTTTGTTTCTGTGGGACATGTGGGGAACAGAACAGAGCTCAGGAAAAAATAAGAAGAGTATCTAAGGTGCGCCTGAGGAGGGATCCCCCAGTTGGTTATAGCCAACCCCGTGGTGGCCTGACTTAGCGTCAAAAGTTCCCACCTTGTGATAGCAGTTGTCATGGAACTGAAGGTCCATCTTACCCATAAAATCAGAAGCCCTGGCTTTTCTATTTTACCTCTGACCTTCGGAGAGGTACTTGTCCTGGGCCTCAGTTTTCTCAAACAAAAAGAGGACTGAATTAGGTTAGATAATTGCCACTCAAATTCTTTGCCTGTGACTTGGAAGGAGGGCTTTCCAGTTGGCTCAGTGGTAAAGAATCCACCTGCCAATGCAGGAGACGCAGGAGACTCAGGTTCGATCCCCTGGAGGAGGAAATGGTAACCTACTCCAGTATTCTGGCCTGGAGAACCCCGTGGACAGAAGAACCTGTCCTCCTGGGGTCTCAGAGTTGGGTGTGACTGAGCACCTGAGCATAGGCACACCTGCACAACGTGGAGGGAAGGAGTGGGGTCCAGGAGCTCCTGGGGGGGCGTCCGTGCTGTCCTGTCCCCAGAGTGAGCCAGGCCAGCCTCTCCTGGCAGCCCTTCTGTCAGAGGTCAGAAGAGGTTTGACCGCAGCCTGGGGGCTGTCACCATAGAGCACACTGTTTCCTTTGACTTGAGTGGAAAATGAGGTGCATCCCTTCCTCTTGAGGCTTTTGTACTTGGATGTGGTGACTGGCCTCGGCAGAAAGGAGGGGCTTAAGGGATGGGAAGAAAGCCCTTAAATCCACATTGAACAAATAGCTAGAAGGTACCCAACTTTGATCTATGTGCTAGTGACACAAAGATGAAATGGGGTCCCAGCACATCTTGCGTTTACACCTGAAGCGGGCAGGGGGGATTGTGGAACGCCTTGGTGAGAATATGGCCTCAACCACATGCTTATACTCAGCCAAGTGTGCTTCAGTACTTTGGTGGAGGGTGTAACCACAGGATTCGGTAGTCTGGGGAGCTTAATAGAGGAGGGAAGACGAGCCAGTCCTCTGAGGAGTCAAGATATGGACTTAATAACACTTCACTGACTGGGAGGTTTTTGCAGAAACTAATTGACAATTTGTTAAATGAGTGAATTTTGAAACACTGGTCAATAACGTTCTGGTAGCAAAAGACATTAATAAGTCTCTGGCGAGTAAGTTGTTAACATGTACTTTATGAGGACCTGCCATGGTTACTGGCTCACTGCAGGCTCTCATAGAGATGCTCTCTCCATTCCCTTTATCCTGAGCTGTGGGGGCTTCAGAGCACAGAACAGAAGTGTTCAGAGAACAAAGCCATTCTGAGGGAGAGAATGGAGGCGTGGGGCAGGGTGAATTGGAGAAAAGGTGACGGAGACCACAGTAGGAGGCTGTCGAAGCACCATGGGGATGAGGTGAGGAGCCTCTGAGCTGGATGGGGCCACTGGGCTCTGGAAACACTGCACCAAGGAACTGGGAGACTTAACTGCTGACCATGGGAACGGGAGGAGAAATAAACCGCTCCGGGGCTGGCTGGGGAGTGGTGCTGCTGGTCTGAGGCCACGGTAGGGTGAGCAGTTCCTTTCGGGCGTTGTGACGTCTCCTCAGGTCCAAAGGTGTGAGGTGGGTGCTGCTACAGGACAGAGAAGTGAACAGGTCTAGGGAGGTGAGGTAACGCCCACAGGTCTAAGCTGGTCAGGGTCTAACCGGGGCACTGAGTCCAGGCCCTTCTGGGAAGGGGTGCTGCCCTGGCATTTCAATGTCCCCTCTTGTCCTGAAACATCCCCCCTTGCCCTGGATTCAGCCAGTGCTGCCACACTCAAAAAGGCCATGAGTGACCATCTTCTGTTACTCTAAGGAAGAAAGATTTCACCCCACCCGCCAGCCCTTTTTAAAGGTGTTGCTTTCTTCTGTGTTTTCCTCCCTATGAAGAGTGTTGATTTCCAGTGACGTTTTAGCACCGCTTTGTCCTCCCAGATAACTGCTTGGCCACCTTACTGTTAGTTGCGTTTCTGAGTCACTGTTGAAAGTGATTTGCTTGCAAACAAGAAGATAAGGCTAGGCTCCTTAGAGAGGAGCTTCACGCTTTGAATGGGAGGTTGGATTAGGTACCCTGGAAATTGCCTTCCATGTTCAAGCCTAATTCCAGGTCTTCTCTACCTGATTAGATCAGGGATCCTATCTTGGCCATTGAGGGTTCCTCCACTGAGCTGAACTTTAAGGCACCAGAAACATTACTGGCACTTAAGTCTCTTGCCATCTGCCTTCCTCCCTCTTTGCCCATGTCAAGTAGAAGGTCCACAGTGTCCCAATGGCTGAGGTCTCTGCCAGTGGAAGCTAGTATTCTGCAGTTTGGTGGCACAAGGAAGGTTTTCTGACTCATTTTATACAGGCACCCAGATTTGTAATACTTAATTGTAGGATTTGATGAGCCGTCTCATCAAATGCAGCAGTCTCGGAGGGGCACTGGCCCATGATGGTAAAGGCCTAGCCTTCTCCCAGTGAGGTCAAGGGCAGTACCTTCCTTGGGCACCAAATCCTACCAGGGGCAAGTGTAGGAGATTACCCAGATGCCCATGGCTGCCACAGCAGAATGGAGAGCACACGGGGGACAGCCCTGGGGGTGCAGCGATCCTTGGGCCCAGACATCCAACATGTGACCTCACACCTTGGGGGAGAAGCTTCTGGGATTGGGGAAGGGCTTGATGGGGTTCTCTGAGAAGCCTAGTCTCCCTCTTAGATGCTCTTACAGTTCTCTCTACTTCGTAGCGGTGACTAATAATTATTTGCATGATCTCAGGGGATCTCCAAGACAACCCTATGACATTATCATGCCCATTTCACAGGTAGGAAAGGAGGCCACTGAGACAGATCAGGGTATTTGCCAGAAGTGACATAGCTGATCAGTGGAGTCAGGACTCCAACCTCAACCCTGTGCTATACGGCAGCTCCTCATGTTTCACAATGAATTCATTATCCTGATTATTTGTTTCAACCGCGTGTCTCCAGTTAGAAGGAAGGGTTCCCCCAGAGCAGGAGCTGTGCCTGTCACATCACTGGATCTCTAACCCTGAGCCTGGCATATGGGGGGAGGTTAATGTGTGCTGAATTAGATGACTGTGAGTGGGTGGTGACTCCTCTGGGCACCTGAATTGTTCCTGTCCTGTGTGGACCCGTGGGGAGTCAACCCAATTTTCTAGAAACAAAGGCTGGCTCTGTCCTGGCTCTGTAGACAGGCCTTGAAGGTGCCCAGTCCTTAACATCCTTCTCAGATTCAAGATTCAAACGAACCAACTGCTGGCCTGCAGCCAGAGTCCGTCCACAGGCTTGTTGTCTCTGTGCCAGGCTTTAATTTTTTTTAATTAGTTGACAATTAATTACAGTTGAAAATGTGATTTCAGGCTTATCTTGAAAAGCCAGAAAATCCTGCAACCCGGTGCTCACAGTCCCACCCAGAGGTAATCAGCAAGCTCTGAGCAGCTGCTGCCCTCTTGAGGTGGCGCTTGCACATTACAGCGCTTCTGTGCCTCTGGCCCACCCTCTTCTGTCCTTAGGGATGGCAG